ACACAAACAGAGAAAAACGCATAATCAAGTCAACATGTACAGACACGCAAGCTTACATGAGCCCAGACACACATTTTCCCTCTCTTTTTACTCCGTTATATAATAGAGAACCTTTTCTGCCTGCCATCAGCATGGATAATGCTAAACTCCAGGAGAACGACACTTTGCACCTACTTAGCCTCACGTTTTCCACTGACATAGAACAACTATATTGATTCAATTGCTACATCTACTGCTAGGAAATTTGTTTCTCGTCAGAGTCATTTTGCACATTTATAAATCTACCATTCGTCCTTGCATTGAATATTGCTGTCATATTTGATCTAGTACTTTTGCTGTATATCTTGAAATTCTTGACAAAATTCAAAGAATGGTCTGTAATGTAATCGATCCTGACCTGGCATCTCAAATTCAGTCATTTTCTCACTGACTTGGGGTAGATTCCCTCTGTCTTTTCTATAAATATTTTCATGGCAATTGTTCTGATGAGCTGTTCTCCTTAGTGCTTCATCTACATGAATTTAAACATGCTACTAGATTGGCAACTAGGTCTCACCATTTTATTCTTGAACTAGCTAGAAGCAACCATCTGTTCTATTCTAACAGTTTCTTTTCTCGTACATCTCAACTGTGGAAATCCCTTGTTCGGTGGGAAATGATTAAAAAAAATTTCTCTGTTGAAAATTATTCTATTTCCTACACCCGTGATTTACATATGTGAAATGTTGTTGCCACTGCCTTTAGTTTAACTAGAAGCAGCGCCCGTGAAAAAATATTGGGCATCCTGGGTATGATAATAAACTCCATCCACGTCCTGGATAAACTACAGTAGTTTAACGTCATACCCAGGATGTTGATGTAGTTTATTGTCATAAAGTGGCAACAGCATTTCACATATGTAAATCATGGGTGTAGGAAAGAGAATAATTTTCAACAGGGAATTTTTTTTAATCATTTGCCACCAAACAAGGTGATAATGCCACTAAGATACAGGAGGTTAAAGAGAATGAAAAACTCTGTGTCCTGGGCAAGATGATAAACTATGTCCAACAGCAAAGTCTCTGATAATACAATTTTGAAAAAATAATATTACCAGATATGTTTTTGAAAAAATAATATTACCAGCTATATGTTTTTAAAAAAATATTACCAGCTATACGTTTTTGAAAAATAATATTACTAGCTATGCATTTTTGAGGGAAAAAGATATTAACAGAAATAGATTTTTGACAAAACAAAAATATTACCAGGAAAAAAAAAGAAGTTGTCAGCATTAAATGACCCATTGAGGTTAATATGCTGTAAAACAAAACAAACCAAACCAAAATAGTGTGACAATGGTATAAAAAACATGCATGTCATGTGAACAAATTAAAAATTGTGTTTGTGTCACATACTTGCTGAAAATTAATAATTAGGACATCTACTCAATGTGTACGCCTTTATATGTGTGTGTATATTCATCTGTTGGGATGTTTGATATTATATGTGCAATAATGGATGTGACTGTGTTGGCAAGAATAATGTCATGTTGACATGTCATCTCACATGATAAGTACAAACAAAAGGTAATCAGGCTATGGCTGTAAGGACATCTCACCTTACAAAAAACTTCCTGGTAAAATCCTGTGAACTATTTATCTAACCATAATAACCTTGATGATTTCATATATCTTTTCTCTCTCTATGCCATGTCCTTTCAGGGTGTGGACAGTCATATCTATCCCTAGATATATTTTTTAATATTCACTTAATACAAGGTCCAAGAGTCTCTCAAGGTAGAAGATTACTAAATGTTGATTTTTGTAAGTGTGTACAAGGAGAAAGCAAAAGGAGTAAATTATGAGGATATGTAGGATAGATAATGGTTGACCTATAAAGAGATTAAGATTGAAGTTGTTTGGGGAGCATTGTCTTGGGAGTCTGTTCCACAATACAACAGTTCTAGGGAATAAACTAAGTGGAACTTCCTCCTCCCCATTGGAATATGAAGAGAATGAGGATGAGTTGATTCTGTGTATGTGTTGTGAAGGTCTGGACTGGTGGAACGAAGGTATGTAGTTTACCAGAACATCTGCTAAGAAAATACTGATACACTAGTGAGAGGTTAGTAGTGTTTTGTCTGTGGAAAAGGGGTTGTATGGTGGGAAACAATTTTTCAACCACAAGGTTGTGTTTTTGAACTTTGCTGAGCCTAGAAAATGAGAATTAGGTAGTTTCATTCCAGAACTGGCAGCAATATTTCATTTTTGGCCCGATCTGACTCTTGTAAAGACCGACCATAGTAGAAGGAGCTTCCTCTGTTTTGATGCTCTCAGTAATAAATTCTTCTTTGTAAACCTCTCTTTCTCAGCAATCCTTTTTAACCTATATGCCTGAAAAAACATAGTGTGTTAAAAGGATGCTTTTCTCTTGACACCACTATTATTTTAACTACCTTCACTCCTCAGCAATGTTTATTGTTTTAAAAAGGTGATTAGAATTGTAATAAAACCTAAACATATGATGAAGGTTGAATTTATACATTTTTTGTTCTTGAGAATTTACAATACATTGATATCATAGTAAATAGGACCAATAATGACTTTCAACTAAAAGATTACAGAAAATCTATCTTGGATCTTGAATCTACTGCAAAAGACATATTAACTACAAAAAGATATTTTAACTACAAAAAAATATTTTAACTACAAAAAGATATTTTAACTACAAAAAGATAATTTAATTTAGCACAAAAAATATTTTAACTAAAAAAATATATTTTAATTACAAAGTACTGCAAAAATATTTTAACTACAAAAAGATAGTTTAACTAAAAAATGATATTTTAACTGCAAAAGAAATTTTAACTGCAAAACAAATATGCTAACAGCAAAAATATCTTAACTACAAAAATATTTTAACTACAAAAATATTTTAACTGCAAAAGTATTTTAATTACAAAAATATTTTATATAAAAATATTTTAATGACAAAAAGATAATTTAACTACAAAAAATATTTTAGCACAAAAATTTTTTAACTATAAAAAATATTTTCCTACAAAAATATTTTAACTACAGAACAAATAAGTTAATGGCAAAAAATATTTTAACTCCTAAAAGATAATTTAACTACAAAAAGATATTTTAATGGCAAAAATATTTTAACTACAAAAAGATATTTTAACTGTAAAAAATTATTTTAGCCCCAAAATGCTTGGCATCAACACTTAGTTTTATATTGCAATAAACTGTTTTTAGTCATCAATTGACTAATTTCAAAAATAAATTATGTTCTTTGGGGACATATAATTTTAACTCCTCAATATAGTCTTTCCGTAATTTTTAAATTTCAATTTTTACAGGTTTAGCTTTCTTCTATGTTTTTGTGATTCAGGCCAGCATAAATTACTCATGTTTGGACCGAACAGCAAGCCCTGTGTGCAGCCTGTAGGCTGTCTCTTTGAGTGCGTGTTTGTGTGTGTATCTATTGAACTATCTCACTCAGTCAGTTCATATCTATCTATCTATCTATCTATCTAACTATCTATCTATCAATTTTCTTTTTATATCTATGCAGTGATGTATACAGACTTTCAGAGGGCAGGGGTTCAGTTGAAAAAAAAAAAGGAGAAAAAAGACACACCTTGAAAATATTTTTATTTGTTTCAAGCAGCTGAATTCAATGCTCAAACCATTTAACAATTCTTGGCTGAGATTTGTTCATTGAATAGCAAAGGAATTTTTCTTTTTCCTTTTCTTCTGAGCAACTTCCTTTGGTCAACATTATTATTATTATTATTCACAGCATATGATGTTGGTTGCTTGTGAAAAGATTATTTTCAGGCCCTTGTCATAATTTAAAAAATAAACCAATTATTTCTTCTTTTCATTGACAGGCTGTAACCAGAACTTTCCAAAGTACCCTGCCATTTTGAGCAGGCAGCTTTTTGTAATGTCTCTGTTTCCAAATCCCAATACAATATCTACAAAATTTTCTTCATGTTTTTTTATACAACACCCTAGTGCTCCTATGATCACTGGTACTGTAATTACTTTCTTTGCTAGTGATTCACAAACTTTCAGAATTTTATGCTTTAATTCATTGTAGTTTCTTTGCTTTCAATTCTTATGTCAAATGGACAAGAGACTTCTGCCAGGTCTTCTTCTTCTATGTGCTGTGTCCCTTCAGGACGTTGGTGATCATGGCTCTTCACAACTTCCTGTCCTTTGTAGCTATTAATAAATTTTGTCTTTTTACCATTACACCCAAACCCTGCCCTGCTATTCATTCACTCAAGATTTCCAGGTAGGTTATGTGTTGCTTTCTTCTGTCATTCTTACCGTCAATCTGTCCTGTGATTTTCACTTTTTCCAAGCCCTCTTTCCTCCATTATGTGGCCCAGAAATTTCAACTCTCTTCCTGATGTTAAGTATAATGTCTCTAGAACTTCATTTTTGCTTCCATGTTTGATCCATGGTATTCTCAGCATCTTTCTGTAGAACCACATTCTGTTACTTCAAGTCTCTTCTTCATCTGATATGAGACTGTTCAGCATTCACTACTATATATGAGGGCTGATATTACATAACAGTTCAGTACTCTTTCCTTTGTTTCTAACAATATTTTCCTGTTTCTTAATACTTTGCTTAATTTTTGGAAGGCATCTTTCACTATCCCAATACACTTTTGGATTTGCTTGTCACATTTTACATCCTATGTTAAAATAATTCCCAGATATTTAAATGGTTGCAACTGTTTCATTTCAGTATCTCCAATTTGTAATTTGCACATTGGACTGCTAACAACTATACAGTTTATCTTCTTGCAATTGATGTTTAGTCTTTTCTTCATGTTTTTCTTCACAAATTTTTGTAGGAGTTCTTGTAGTTTCCTTTTTGTGTTTGCTATCAACACTGAGTCATCTGCATTATATTGTTAAAATTGTGGCTGCCAATAATAAATCCTAGTAGGACTTCTAGTTATCTCAGATACATAGATAGATAGACTGGCAGATGTCAATAGATAGATAGATAGATAGATAGATAGATAGATAGATTGGTAGATATCAAGAGATAGATAGATTGGTAGATATCAAGAGATAGATAGATATCAAGAGATAGATAGACTGGCAGATATCAAAAGATAGATAGATTGGTAGATATCAAGAGATAGATAGATAGACTGGCAGATGTCAAGAGATAGATAGATAGATAGATAGATAGATAGACTGGCAGATGTCAATAGATAGATAGATAGATAGATTGGTAGATATCAAGAGATAGATAGATAGATATCAAGAGATAGATAGACTGGCAGATATCAAAAGATAGATAGATTGGTAGATATCAAGAGATAGATAGATAGACTGGCAGATGTCAAGAGATAGATAGATAGATAGATAGATAGATAGACTGGCAGATGTCAAGAGATAGATAGATAGATAGATAGATAGATAGACTGGCAGATGTCGATAGATAGATAGATAGATAGATAGATAGACTGGCAGATGTCGATAGATAGATAGATAGATAGATAGATAGACTGGCAGATGTCGATAGATAGATAGATAGATAGATAGATAGACTGGCAGATGTCAAAATATAGATAGATATCAAGAGATAGATAGACTGGCAGATGTCAAGAGATAGATAGATAGATAGATAGACTGGCAGATGTCAAAATATAGATAGATATCAAGAGATAGATAGACTGGCAGATGTCAAGAGATAGATAGATAGATAGATAGACTGGCAGATGTCAAAATATAGATAGATATCAAGAGATAGATAGACTGGCAGATGTCAAGAGATAGATATCAAGAGATAGATAGACTGGCAGATGTCAAGAGATAGATATCAAGAGATAGATAGACTGGCAGATGTCAAGAGATAGATATCAAGAGATAGATAGACTGGCAGATGTCAAAATATAGATAGATATCAAGAGATAGATAGACTGGCAGATGTCAAGAGATAGATAGATAGATAGATAGACTGGCAGATGTCAAAATATAGATAGATATCAAGAGATAGATAGACTGGCAGATGTCAAGAGATAGATATCAAGAGATAGATAGACTGGCAGATGTCAAGAGATAGATATCAAGAGATAGATAGACTGGCAGATGTCAAGAGATAGATATCAAGAGATAGATAGATTGGCAGATATCAAGATAGATATATCAAGATAGACAAATAAATTGATAGATAAATAAATAGATATCAAGAGATAGATTGACAGATATCAGGAGATAGGTTGATAGACAGGTAGATGGATATTTATAGAGAGATATATCAAGAAAATGAAGCAATGTACTGCATCTTGCAATTTTGGTTCTAGAGATTATTGGTGGCTCTTCAAGAGTGTACTGAACAACAAGAAATACTCAATCCCTCCTCTATTCAATCAATTCGAAGTCCTGACTGTTAATCTATGTGAGCGATCTCCCCTGAAAACTCTCCCTGCCGGGGATGGGATTTCCGGTCGGAAGTCGGGGCAGCGGCCATGTTTGTTTATACTGTGTAGTTAGTGAGGAGTCGAATAAAATATTCTCTCCGTATCCGTTGTCGAAGTCCGTCATTCACATATTTATATTTTTCTTTATGCACATTGACAGTCCTTTATTTTTATACTAACATTGGTAGCAGAGCGTAGTTATGGCTTCAAAGCACATTTCACCTCCCGTCTTAGTTAAAGACAAGTACAGCACGTGGAAAAAAGAAATGCAAATCTGGGAAATGGCCACGTCGCTTGACAAAACAAAACGCGCCCCCATAGTATTTCTTTCTCTGGAAGGAAAACCTAGAGAAGCTGTATTGGAATTGGATGTTGCGGCACTTAATTCTGAGGATGGAATGGCTAAACTGTATGAAAAATTGGACACGCTTTTTTTTGGAAGATATAAACCAGTCGGCCTTTCTGGCCTACGAGACTTTCGAAGGATACCGGAGACAGCCTGAAACATCAGTGGAAGACTTTCTCATTAACTTCGACCGACACGTTGCTAAGTTGAAAGATTTCAACATCATCCTGCCTGAACCGGTACTTGCATTCAGGGCATTAAAGAGTGCTTCCCTCACCACTGAAAATGAAAGACTAGTCAAGGCGACTGTCGGCGAACTGACACTCTCTTCCATGTCGGCACAGTTAAAGAAGATTATGCATAGACAGCCGTCTGAAGCTTCATCTATGAACTCAACACCCGTAGTGGTTAAGAAGGAAGATGTTATTGCCTTTACTGAAAATAAAAACGAACCTAGCTAGGTATACTATGGTCGCTCTTCGCACCGCCGTGATTCGCATTTTAATAGTCGGCGAGGAAAAACATACCGCGGTGGAAAACGACATAGCAACAACAACAACCAAACACGCTCCACTGACAAAAACAAAATAAACCCGCTAGGACCCGAAGGCAACACCACTGTGTGCTTTAAATGTGGCTTCAAATTTCACTGGTCTTACGACTGCCCTTATGTCGACGATACCCGGGACAAACATGAGGACGACGAACACGAAAGTTATCTGTATCTGGCTAACATTGTGCTGATGAGTCAGCAAAAACGCGAGGCAAATGGCAACACGCTTTTGGGTGAGACACTTGGTTCGGCTGTCCTAGATAGTGGTGCATCTGGCACCGTTTGTGGAAAAAAATGGTATGAATTTTTTCTTGAAACATTAACTGATGCACAGAAAAAAAAATAATTATGAGAAAAGGAGTGAGAACTTTTAAGTTCGGGGATGGAAACAAGCTGGACTCTCTCTACAATGTGACCCTACCATGTGTCATCGCAGACATTGACGTCAATATTGTTACCGATGTTGTGGATTCTGACATTCCACTTCTCTTAAGCAAAGATGCAATGAAAAGAGCTGGAACCTGTCTCAATTTTGAACATGACAGCGTGACGATGTTTAAAAAGAAAATTCCATTGAGATGCACATCATCTGGTCATTATCACATCCCTATCACCAGACCCCTACCAGATAGAGGTAAGCTCAAATACATTCTTCTTGTCAAAGAAATCTCCTCTAAAAACAAATCAGAAAAATTGAAAGTTGCAACTAAATTATATAGACAATTTAGTCATCCCAGTAGTAAGAAATTATGTGATTTAGTGAGAAATGCAGGAATAAGAGATCCCGATTTTATGAAAATCTTACAAGCACTTCCAAATTCCTGTGAAGTGTGTATTCGCTATAAAAAGAACGAACCTAGACCTATTGTTGGATTCCCATTAGGGTCTTATTTTAATGAAACTGTTGCTATGGATATTAAAGAGATTAATGGTAACAAGGTACTGCACCTGATTGACCATGCTACCAGATACAGTGTCGGCGTTAGGATTCCAAGTAAAGAAAGATCAGACATCATCAGTGCTATATTTAAACACTGGATAGCGTATTTTGGGACTCCTGGATCTATCTTAACTGATAATGGTAGGGAATTTGATAACGAATCATTCCGTGACATGGCACAGAATTTGAATATCGTTGTGCGTACCACTGCTGCTGAAAGTCCATGGAGTAATGGCTTAAATGAACGACCCAATGGGATATTGGGAGAAATGGTCAAAAAGACTGTAGAGGACACAAATTGTAGTTTTGAGATAGCACTAGCATGGGCTATAAGTGCAAAGAATACACTTCACAGTGCTCACGGATTCAGCCCCAATCAGCTTGTTTTTGGTAGGAATCCCAATCTGCCCTCCTTTTTGAATGATAAACTCCCTGCATTAGAAGGTGTCTCTACCAGTGAGATTGTTGCCAGTAACCTCAATGCCATGCATGCAGCTAGAAAACAATTTATTATGTGTGAGTCTTCGGAAAAATTAAGACGTGCACTTCGTCATCAAGTTAGGACTAGTACAACACAATCCTACAAAAATGGTGATGTTGTTTTCTATAAGAGAAATTTCTGTGATAGATGGCTTGGTCCAGGAACTGTCATAGGGTGGGAGCACAAGCAGGTACTTGTTAAACATGGGGCACATATGTAAGAGTGCACCCATGTCGCCTCGTGTCTCACCCAGAAACATATCAAAGTTCCTCTGAAAGTGAGGCTATAAGTGAATCCACCACTTCACAAAGTGAGCCTGAAGGATCTTCAAACTTATCAATGTCTGACGAAAACGATGTTGCTGAAGAACCAGGAACTCTGAATGATCATGTTGCACAACATCAGACTGTGAGAGAGGCACACGTACTACCAAAGCAAAATCCAATTCACAAAACAATTACGCTTCCCAAGCCAGGACAATCCATTAAATGCAAACTTGCCAATGATGATGATTCGGAATGGCGAACATTGAACGTCATAAGTAGGGCAGGCAAAGCTACAGGTAAAAAAACAAGCATTTAATGAATGTGGCTATGGAACAAGGTGAACCCTTCTGGCTAGACTTCAATCATGGAGTATTGGAATGGAAAGAAAATGAAGCCAGACCAATAAATAAGGATGAAGCTACCTCTAGTGATGAGGAAAACATTATGATTTCTTCTTCAAATCACGACCTGGAAATGGCAAGAGAAAACGAACTCCAAAGCTGGGTTGAAAATAAAGTTTACACCCAAGTGCCTGACCAAGGCCAATCCAAAATATCCACAAGATGGGTTTATACTAATAAAAATGTCAATGGCAAACAGATCTATAAAGCTAGACTTGTGGCGAGAGGCTTTCAGGAAAGGGATGCGGGCAATATAAGAAATGATTCTCCAACATGCTCTAAAGAAAGTCTACGTATAGCCTTGGCTATAATCGCATCTAACCATTGGGTGTGCAAGTCAATGGACATAAAAACAGCATTTTTACAGAGCAAAGAGTTAGACCGATTGATCTATTTGCATCCTCACAAAGAAGCCAAGGTACCTCCAGGATATATTTGGAAACTCTCCAAATGTGTATATGGTTTGACTGATGCATCAAGGTCCTGGTACCTGACACTCAAAGAGGAATTGTTGAAGTCAGGAGCAGTGGTTTCAAAATATGATCAAGCCATATTTACATGGAACTTTGGAAACAAACTGCATGGTATTATAGCTACTCATGTTGATGATTTTTGCTTTGCAGGCTCGGAGATTTTTCAGAGTAGAGTTATGGACAGGATTCGTCACTTGTTTAGGATCAAATCTGAGGAAGTTGCTGAGTTTCAATATATAGGATTAAGCATAAAGAAAACTGGGAATGATGTTAAACTTGGACAGGACGAATATGTCAAAAAGCTAAGGTGTATCCCACTAGAACCAGGCAGAAATTTGAAAGATGCAATATCTTCAACAGAGGTTACTGAAACCAGGCAATTGATCGGACAACTTAATTGGTTAGCCACCCAAACCAGACCTGATCTTAGTTACGATGTTAGTGAGTTAATCTCGATACTAAAACAAGAAAATGTAGAATGTTTAAAACAGGCTAACAGGGTGGTAAAAAAAGCAAAAAAGGAGAAATTTCATATAGATATTCCAGACTTAGGGAACCTTGAGCACCTAAAAATTGTTGCATACAGTGATGCTTCTTTTGGCAATTTAACAGATGGAGGTTCACAGGGAGGCTATATACTTTTTTTAGTTGGAAGCAATGACAAGTATATGCCCATTGCCTGGCAGTCTAAGCGTATTAGAAGAGTTGTCAAAAGTACTTTAGCTGCTGAAACTTTAGCCATGGTTGACATGGCAGAAGCCTGTATTTTTTATCGGAAACTTTTGTTAGTATCATCGTTCAATTGTAGTATTTCTAACAACATTAAGATCTTCTGCAAAACAGACAATTCCTGTCTCTATGATTCTGTACATTCCTCAACCCAAATTTTGGATAAGAGACTTCGCATAGAGATGGCTATTTTGAGAGAAATGATTGACAGAAAGGAAATTGCAGAGATCTCTTGGATATCAACTGATGTACAAATTGCTGACTCCTTGACAAAGAAAGGAGTGCCATCATTCAAGCTCCTTGGGTTCATATCCGAACCAAAGGAATTATCTGTATAATGTAAATACCCGGGAAATTTGTGAGTAGAAAAAATAGCAATGTTTTCAGCTTTCATGTGTTTCAGTTGCTACAATCTTGGTTACTAACAAAAGACATTGTTGTAACATTTTATCGGATGATATGGTATTTTAACTCTGCATCATTAAACAACAAAGCGAAATACGAAGCCAAAAGTGCAACAATTTCAGTCTTGCCTGTGTATCAATTCGCTGAGTTACAATTTTCCATTGAGTGAGCGATATACTTTTGAATATATCTACTAGTGTTGGGACGATTAATCGGAATCGAGAATCGGAAAAATCGGAACTTTTTGGGGTATCGGAAACGGTATTGGAATCGGAAAAATTTCTGCCTATTTTCCGATTCCAAAAACGATTCTTTTAAATTTTTAACTTAATTTTCCATTATTGGTACTAATGATAAATATTTATTGTTTTTAAATTATCACTAAAATCATAATAACATCAAAATATGATGTAAATTTATTTTACTTGTATAAAGAAAAACAAAAATTAAACTTTAAATAAATTCTCTAGGTAACCGTTAAAAGAATGCAGTTGATTTATTTTACAATGTTCCGAAAAATGCTTAAAAATTAGAACATTTTTGTCAAGAAAAATACTTTCAAACATCATTGATAATTAAATGGTAACCAGAAAATGATGCAACGGAAAACTGGACACCGGAAAATTAGCAACAGAAAATTACGTCAACCATGAGCCAGTCGAGACTGTCAGATCTGGCTGTGCCGTCCATTGAAAACGAGCTTACAAGACAAACAGGTTTTGACGATGTCATTGACCAGTTTGCCACAATGAAAACAAGAAAACATTCATTCTAAGACCATAGTATCGAATGTCATTCTTTTGTGTATTGCCGTGTTTTGTATTTAGTTGTTCTAAAAGTGAAAAAAATCTTTAAAAATCTTTTGATTTGAACTGATTATTTTGTGGTATTGGATTTTGTCTTGGATCATACATGTAAACAGCAACGTACCGGTCAGTAGAGTAAAGTAGAGGTAGAGCATGTATGAAAATTTAGCTACAGCTAACCATAGGGTGAATCGGGGTCATTGGGGTGACGTTTGAGTGGACTGCCTCGGGTGACGTTTACTCTAGCTACGCCACTGCTTCCCTGATAACTACAATCTCCAAAAATTTAAAAGTAACGTCAATCATCATCTTTTGATGCCTTGATCTTCATTCTTCTTTTCATCCTTTCCTCAATCCACCCCACCCTATACCCAGTCTCTTACCTTCACTCTCTGTAATCCCTTGCACACGAGTGCCATTCCTGCCTTGCTTAGGATGAAATACTTAAAAAAAATAGGTAGACATGAATAGATGATAGATATAAACAGATACTGAGAGATAGACAGCTAGAAAAACAGACATATATCAAATGATAGAGAGATAGACAGACAGACAGACAAATATTAAGAGATAGATGGATAGACTGGCAAATATTAAAAGATATATATCAAGATAGACAAATAAATAGACAGATATCAAGAGATAGATTGACAGATATCAGGAGATAGGTTGATAGACAGGTAGATGGATATTTATATAGAGATATATCAAGAAAATGAAGCAAAGTTCCTGTTTGCAATTGATAGTGAGAGATAGACAGATAGCTAGAAAAACAGACATATATCAAATGACAGATAGATAGATAGAGAGGGAGAGAGAGAGAGAGAGAGAGAGAGAGTACTTATAAGGAGAATATCTCTTCTGTCTGCTCACGTTTCTGTGACACGTGCTCTATATGAAAGTAGTCCAGTCCACACTGAAAACTTATTGATTGGCCTATTTTCTTTTTTTCTCACATTAAATCTGCCTCAGCATCTACAATCTCTGTGAACACCGACTGCATTTCATTGTATGGGGTTGCTCACTCCTCACTGACATATTTCATTTACTTAAAGCTTCAACAATATTTGACCAATTCAGATAAAATTTACACGCAGTTGAGGTCTTAACAAAAGCTTATAGTAGAACAATTTTATTTATTAAGCTTTATGAATTTCATCTTTCAATAATGCATTTTTATACAATCACCAGATTATTCAATAACTAGACTCTATCTTTGTTTTAGATTCTAAACAAATCACATTCTTATTTCCTCAAATCAAATGTAAAATTTCAAGAAAATGTAAAAAAAAAATGCTTTCATTCTATCCATATAAAATAGATTAATTTTAGCAAACTAGTTAAGTCGAATCCATTATATTCACTTACATGCTAATACCCTTGGGAAAGATGTGAATTATCTTCTTCTCTCCCCAGATATGGGTAAATAACAGAACAGATGGGGTTCTATAGCCTTGGATGGCAACTGGTCTACTGCAGAAAGAAATGGCAACCTACTATGGGAAAAAATCTGCCTCATCAGTCATGTATCAAAAGATATATGATTACTTAAGCATGTATCACACATGGCACATAACTGAGTTAAATATAATATTACGTATGACAGGTTAAGTCTTGTGTTATCATTTAATATATATATATATATATATATATATATATATATATTGTAAAGTTGTCATTCAAAGAATAAACCAATAAAATTAATGTAATTAATAGTGAATTCACTTCGCTAACAGATTAAATAAGGCATTACCTCACTGACCACTTGTTGAATGACACGATCCTTGTTTTTATTAATTGTAAAATGGATTAGATGTTCGGTTCACGTTGCAAGTACTTTCGGTAAGACATTATTTACCATCTTCAGGCATAGATATTTTTTTCTCAATTTCAGGTAATTTCGGGTAAAATTCCAAGATGAAAATGAATGTGATATGTTGGCTCACTCTGTGATAATCTCATTGCAGATGAAGAAGATACTTGAGGCAACAGAAATGTGGTTCTATGGGAGGATACTTAGAATGCCAGTGATTGAACTTGTGAGCACTGATGAGGTTTAAGAGCAAATAGAAAAAAAAAAGACACTTATACTGGCCATCAGAAAGAGACAGTAGAAATTTCTAGGGCACATAATGTGGAAAGAGGGCTTGGAAAATTTGACACTCCCAGAACATATTGAAGTCAATAGGGGTGGAGGAATACAGCAAATATCCTACCTAACGAGCTTGTCTGGCATTCACTGCCATATAAGTTATATTACATAATATTTCAGTACTCAATTCTTTCTTTCTAATAAGATTTTCCTGTTTCTTAATACTTTGCTTACATTTTGGAAGTAACTCTTAGCAAGGACTATCTTTTTCTCAACCTTGTGGAATGATACTACAGAATCATAAACAAAGGATCATACCAAAAGTCTGGTCAAATGTGAAATTGGCAACTGATCACAAAAATGACCTACATTCTGTTGTTAACTGGGGCAAGAAATGGTTTGTTAACTTTAATGCCTCCAAAACAAAACTGCTCTCTTTTTGCCTTCCATCAGCTAATGTCAACCTCCAGGAGAGTGACTGATTGCACCTTCTCAGGCTAACATCTTCTGCTGACATGAAGAGGAAAGACTACATTGAATCAATTGCTAGGTCTGCTGCTAGGAAAGTTGATTCACTGTGTCAAGCAAGACAATTTTTCTCATATTTATAAGTACATAGACTCTATGAATTTAAGCACAGTACTTGATTGGTGACGTTATAATGGCAATAAGTCGACTTTGATCTTGAAATGCAATATCAATCATTATCTTCCGTCTTCTTAATTTCTGTTCTTTTGTTGTTCTTGCTCCTTAATAATGTTTTTTTTTTATATTCTTTCAAATTCAGTAACACCCTGCATGTTAGTGGCTTTCTTGACTTGCTTGTGGTGAAAAGATTAAAACTAACTGTGATTCTAACAGGTGCTACAACCCCAGGTCAGGGCAGACCTGGCAACAAAAATGCTCCTCAAAACCTCAAATCTCCTGATCAGAGGCCCTACTGCCAGATGTAGTTTATCGTCAAACTGGAGCAAGAAAGGGATTGTTAATTTTAATGCCTCCAAAACAAAACTTCTATCTTTTAATCATCATAGAGAATTGTTTTGTTTTCCTTCAGTATGGCCAATGCTGACCCCTAACATAGTGACTCCTTGCAATCTCATAGGCTAAAATCTTCTGCTGACATGAAGTGGAAAGATTATATTGAATCAGTTGCTAAGTCTGCTGCTAGGAAAGTTTGTTCACTGTTTCGTGTAAGACAGTTTTTCTCACCGGAAATTATCTTACAAATTTTTATAAGTCTTCTATTCGTTCATGCACTGAATACTGCTGTCATATCTAATCTGGTGTGTCTGCTATGTATTTAGAGGTTCCAAATAAAATAAAAGAAGAATATTTTTTATGACGTAAACATTATTTCTAGTATTTGAATAGATGCATTGTTTATTTCTTAAACATTATATTTATTTATTTTCATCTGCCAGCCTGAATATTTGAGAAATCTTATTAGAAAAATATGCACTCTCCACATCAATCCTCTCAAAATATATAAAATTAAAGAAACCAATCATGAACGTTGCTGTCAAAGAAAAACATGATAAAAAGATGAGTTTATATGAGCCACCAAATTAGCTTTGAAGAACACTGCTTATAAATGACTGATAGATTCGTGGCAAACAAGCAAGCTTCAACTAATCTGCTGCCAGCCTCTCGATCAATCGACATATGTACATCAACTCTATGTCCTACCAAATCTACCCTTCCTCCAACTTGCTTCCCTTGCCCACAAAGAGACATCCCAGTCACATATTCTGTATCGGCAATACAAAGAATTTTATATTAACAATTCTTGTCTTCTTTTCCTTTCACCTCACCAGTGGTAGTTGTTTTGTTTGTTCTCTTATGATGTCATACGTGTGAACTTAACAGTGATTATTTCTTATGCGAGATTTTAGTGCTACTTAGTTAGTCTTTTATTTACTAATGGACAATTAACCGAATGTATATTCTTATCAGATCATTGAGTACAAATATAATGTCATTTGTGATTTGGCCTTGAACTATTTACCTTTCTATCTATTTATCTTTCTATCTCAATCTCATATATATTTATTGCAGGAATGTACACATGCTTCCTTTGGCTTCCTCATTTTAGGCTCTACATTTTGCATTACATTGAGATCTTTCATTTAATGATGTTGGCACTTCCTTCCACATATTATATATATATATATATATATATATATATATATATAATGAAATGGATTAAATCCAAGAATTATTAATATATTTTCTCTTTATATGTTATGAATACATCTGAAAGTTAAAGAAATTGCATAGAAAATATGTGCTCCTCCAACAGGAGTCAAACCTGTAACCCCAAAAGGAACCATGATGTGATGTGATGTTAACCATTCAACCACAAAGAATCGTCTGGTTAGTAAAGTTCGAATTATTGTTTATAAGCAACAAATCTTCAACAATTTTTCCAAAATGATCGTATTTGCTCATGAAACATACTTTTAACATAAACATTGAAAACATTTTAGCGTACTTTTAACTTTTAACGTAAACATTGAAAACATATGTTTTATAACATAACATAACATAACATAATGTTATAACATAACATATTATGTTAACGTAAACATTGAAAACATATTATGAAATGGATTAAGTCTGACAATTATTAATATATTTTCTGTTTATATATTATGTTTAAGAGATACAATTTATTCAAGTCAATGCTCTGTTTTTTAAATAAACAGTATTAATTACATTTACCAGCCTGAATGTTCAAGATATTTTGTGAAAAATATGTGCTTCTCTGTCAAAGATTTGTTGTTTATAAACAGTAATTTGGACTTTGCTAACCAGATGATTCTTTGTGGCGGAATGGTTAACAGCATATCACATCAAATGAAGGGGCACCTCGAGGCGGTGTAATGGTTAGCAAGCTTGTCTTGCTAGCACAATTATGACTGAGTAGTGAGTTCGATCCTCACTGGGTGCCCCATACTTTCGGCCTCGTGCCACATCTGTGCTACGCTTGGAAAATCACTATCACATCAAATGATGTGTTTTTTAGGGGATACAGGTTTGTTTCCTGTCAGAGAAATTTCTTGAACATTCAGACCAGTAAATGTAATTAATATTGTTTATTTAAAAAATGGAACATTTATTTAAACAAATTGTATCTATTAAAAATAACGTATAAACAGAAAATTTATTAATATATATATATATATATATATATAAATATATATATAAATGGGAATATAAACTAAATTTCTTGAACATTCAGACCAGTAAATGTAATTAATATTGTTTATTTAAAAAATGGAACATATATATATATATATATATATATATATATATATATATATATATATATATATAATGTATAAATGGGAATATAAACTAAATAATTAGATATTAGCAATTTTGCAGAGCACTGTGGCATTTGCACTCTACAAATTTTACTGGGATATTAAAACAGATGGCTACACACCGGTAGTAAATTGGAATTTCATCGCAAAATCTACAATCATGTTGCATCTGTCACTATGGCCAGAAAAGGGCATGGTGACCGATGCAACCTGTGTCTGCTGGAAAAAAGATTCATCCTCAAAAATATTAATGACTGAGATCTACTTAATAAATGAAATGAACTTATGTTATTACAATCACAGAGAAAAAAATATTTTAATTTTGGATGGATAAATTATCCAAATATCAGATGCACTTCCCATATTTTAGGTTACATATTGATTACCCCCTTTTAGCTATTTAAGCATCTATTAAGTGACAGCGATTCTCATTTAAACTTTAAGCTTGCATTTTTTTTTTAAGAATAGCTGCATAACTTCACTCTACATTTTGAATTTACACCCAAGTAAGTTTATATTAAGTTTGAGCTTTGAATCTGTGTTTAATTTAGCATTTCTCCCATGTGAACAAGTATTTTTTTA